GGTTTGTAACTTTGGGAGTTCAAAATGTGCAATGGCAATCGGCCATAAAGATGTGTTCTTGTTTCATTCCTGTCCATCCCTCCATCTTTTTTTGATCACGTGATCTGCACACGACCCTTTATAGAGAGAATATAGCTGCTTATTGTCTGTGCTGGGACTCAGCACGGGAAGTTAAGGAGGGCTAATTTGCCATAAAGCCTCCATTTGAATATAACAACATTTAAATTGGCTAGCTAGTCCCTGAAGTAGTGGTTCCAACCCAAGGGCAGTTATGGAAGAGAAGAAAAGTTGGAGGCATTAAAGAACAGCTCCCTCCCATAAGGGTCTGAGGGTGGCCTTAGGCGGGGGCCAATATTGCACGCTCAATAATATACCAGAGGGAGTAGGGGAAAATGTTCCCTGTGGGGTTTTAGACCTCTAATAGCGCTAAGAAGCTGTTTTTCTATGAACTGTGAACCAGTTTTATCCGTCAGGAGGACAGACATTCAAGCACATGTAGCACATTAAATCCAATGGTGTCACAGTGTTTCAGATCATCAGTATCAAAATCACAGCGCCAACAAAGGAAGGGACGAAGAAGACGGTAAGCTAGTTAACATGGAGGTAAGCAATGCTGGGTCTAAAATACGTTATTAGAAAGGAAATGCATTAGAGACGTTTTATTAGAACTCAAGGATATACAAATATAACTTTTGTTAGCTCACATGGTAACTCAAAAGATCCCTTTAATTTATTTATTTGATTAAGTGAAAATGACCACCAATGACCAACAACAGTTCATGGAGGCTTGTTACCAACTGATCCTGTGGACTGACATAAAAAAGCCTTTACAATATATTTTTGGATTTTTTTAACAACTTGATTAGTGCTGAAAGGTAGTCCAAATGATGTAGTTTTTTTCCCTTTGATTTCCCTTTCAAATGTTGAAGAGCTTTTTATGACTCTTTCGAGGTAATTTGGTATTGGTCGCATTTTGCTTTGGGCTTGCTCTTTCCATCTAAGTAAACACATATTTTTGAAATGTGTTTTCGTTAATGCATATTTAATGTTTTTTTCTTTTCTTACAACCTTTTCTTTTGATTCAACAGAGTCCAAACAATTCTCTAAATAAATAAAAGCACTTAAATGGCATGGGTTTTTCATAACAGTCTTTACTCAACCATCAAACTAGGGCTGTCAAACGATTAAAATGTGTAATCAGATTAATCACAGCTTAAAAATTAATTAATCATGATTAATCACCATTCAAACTATATGTCCAAAATATGTATTTCTTTATGTATATTGTTGTGGGAATGGAAAGATAAATGAAAGAAGGCAGATATATCCATTTAACATACAGTATCTATGTTTATTATAACATTTGTCTGTGTGTCAAAATGAAAGACAGCCCACACACCTATCAATCATCAAACCGTGGGGTCTTAATTCATTACGTGTTGATTTCTAACAACGGGGGAGTACTTCAGGAAAGTGGTGACTTCGTGACCACAGAGTGTGAACGTTGTGATCAACTGTTTTAGCGCAGTTCTCCAGTGAAGGGGGGAGTCTCCCTCCGCAGCCGGTTGGCGTAGTTTTGGCACAATTCCGTTGTACAGACCGACGTTAACAGCAGCCCTGTCTGTGCACACGGAGACCGACTCTGTCGTCCGGTGATCTAACCGCCTTCTGGAAAAGCTTCACAAGTACGTCGGTACGCAAATACGCTTTGTGACACAAGTGACGGTACGCATTTCAAATTACGCACATAACCTGCGTACCAGTTATGTGCACCCCTGTACTACAGCAAAAGTATTCTCCGTCGGGACTTCCTGCAACAACACCACGCCGTTATCTTGATTCTGATTGGCCAGAAGATATTATCAAATATGTTATATTGAGAAGACGATCACTACGTGACAAAAGTTTTCAAAACCGTTTCTGGTCTTCGGTATTTCCAGACAAGTGACTACTGAAATCAATCTTACTAACTGTCTGTGCAATTTACTCCGCGTGACTTTATTTTGCTTACTTTAACATCATTTTTCATGGTGGGTCTAAGCCAGGCATCCTCAAACTACGGACTCCGGTCCGGATCCGGACCGAACCACCACTGTCTCCGGACTCTGAGCAAATTATACTTTTCATATGTATTATCTCTCTGTATTATATGTGAGACATCGCCACAACGCATTCGCAACGAGTCAAAATTCTCCGCTATGTCCACTGCAAACAGCGCTCTGCATGTCTGACTGTTCCACTGTGTTCCACCTGTGTGTCAACGCTTTGGTCCAATCACATTCAGCATCCAGTCAGCGTTTTTTTCCCCCAAACAATCTGCGAATCAGAGGCACAGTAGGGCGGGTCTTCGCGGAATGCGGGTGGGAAAAATGTGTGTGTCTCTTTCAACCTGTCTAAGTCAGAGCGAGAATTTAAAAAAAAAAAGATTCAGAGCGAGAGTTAACAGCTCATCTAGTTCCATCTGTACTGTAGCTAGTAGCCTAGTTTCACCTACCGAGGTGGCAATTGACACCCTAAAAATAGGCCTTGCCACCCCAGTTGGCAGCTTTGTTTTGAAAGAAAAGTTGTGGCTCATCGGACATTTATGAGAGAAAGTCTCTAATGTCCGAGTGCAAGTGAATGCAGCACAAGATGCACGTCATGTAACCCCGGTCCTGGCGCGAGCGTGGACATACGATTGGCGGCGATTTCATTTTGAACTGGACGGCGCAAAACGAGAAGCATTCGGACCCAAGCACTGAAGGAATGAGGTATTTGCGGTCTACACTGACAGAGAAGAGACTGTCAGTTTGGCTGTACTCAGCATTGAATCAAAACGCACTAAAGCTGTTGATCTTAATACGTTTGTGAGGCGTTTTGCTGAACAAAATGGTAATCGCCGCATTCAGCTGTAATAGACATGTCAACTTGATGCTCTGCTCACGGATGAGCATACAAAACTATTAAGATGATGACCTTACGTGTGTAAATATATTTTTTTCTTTGAGGGGGTCTGCCCCCAAAAAACTGTTTTAAGTCCTGAGAAAGTCAAATAAGACGGTGTGTAAAACTACACTGCCCAGCCAAAAAAAAGTAACCACTTTGATTGAACTAGGCCAGTAGGTAAGGACTTTCCACTGGATAATAACTGAAGTATAAAAGAATGCATGACTGAAGTGATGGAGACCATGTTGAAGGCAAACGAAAAGAGGAAATAACAGGTCAAATCAAGCAAATCCCCCTCTCAGATTCCACAGCAACCAGAAGAACAGAAATACTGGCTGGTGATTTGATTCATCACCTTTGTGATGGAATAAAAAATGCACAGTGCATTTCCTTAGCTGTGGGTGAGTCCACTGACACCACTGACAATGCTCAGTTGCTGGTGTTTGTGAGTTTTTATGATGAGGCAAAGGGGGAGTTTGTTGAAGATGTGTTGGGCCTGACGAACCTCAGTGGACACACAAGGGGGCAAGACATTTATAAAGCAATAATGGGAATGCTGAATGAAAGAGGGTGCAGCTGCCTTTATTCATAACTGTGCAGCTCTTACACTGCGACTCTGAGGGGTCAAGCACAGACACAATAACAATGAAAACTGCTGCATACAGATTAATTTTGTTTTTGTAACCTCGTGTTAAGAATCTTGTTGCAATTGTTTAAAAGTTTGAATGACCGTAATAAACGGACCTTTGTCTTATTGAAACATTTATTTTGGACCTTTAAGATTTGTATTTGAGTACCCCTGGTCTAAGCCATTTCTTGGTATGGGTGTAGCCTACTCCAGCCATACCCTGGCGCTGCCACTGGTGGGATGTATGGGGCGGGCCATTCTGCACATGCATTAAATGCGTTAAATATTTTAACGCAATTAATTCAAAAAATTAATTACCGCCGTTAACGCGATAATTTTGACAGCATTAAAATAAACATGTAAGCTCAACTTGCAGTTCCCTAAAACAAATGTTTATGCAGTTTGTCCATCTTAGTACAATTAGTACAAGGTACTTGGGCTGTGCTTAATACACTCTAAACACTCCTTTGATCCCATGTGTTTCTGTTAGCAGATGTAGCCCATCAGTATCAAAGAGCAGCAGAAAAGCGATACGGACTGACAACATTGTCATATCAATTCTCCTCCCCTACTAAGACACATCTCACTTAGGCAGGAGTGAACGATAGGGCCCGTGGAAAGCCACTATACAAATAATTGCTAGTCCATAGTTGGACCTGTCAAATACAGTTAACCATCTGGGACTCTGTAGATGAAAAAAGGGGAAGAGAATAGATAAGCTCCATTTAGTCTGGGAGGTGATGTCCCTTAAATTGCAGTGGCAGCTGTAAAAGGGCTTGTGCTCGCACGCTGAATAAACAGAAAGTGAGATAAAGGAAAGCATCAGGCTGGAGAGAATAATCTTGGCAGAGGTATGTCAAGGCCATCGCAGCCATCTTTAATTTGAAGAATGTAGCGAACTGTTACCCCAGAAGGATGAAATGTTATCGGAATTGTGTACTCAATTTAGTTTTTCCTTTGTAAGCAACCAAATACACTTAAAGGAAGTAAGATGTAAGATGATGAATATGCATAGTTTCTAGTAACTTCAATATTTCCTTTATATGTAGGGTATGTTTCTCAATAGAACATGTAAGTGCATAATTTAAAATGTCCAGAGTATGAGAATATTGAGGATTTGACATGGTCGTCCACATCAGATGATAATGTTTCTGTCCCTAGTGTTTTTAATTGTCTTAGTGTATTTTAATTTAATTGCGTTTACACTGATACAATGAATGTTTTGGTACTAGTTAGAATTAAGGGTTGGATTAGATTAGTTTCTAAGGTATTTTGTTAGTGTTGGTGTTTTCTTAGATTGTTTTTCAAAGCTTCAAATAGCTAATCAGTCTCATATCTCCATTTTGTTTTAGGATTGAACTTTTAACTGTTTGTGAATAAATGAATTTAATTGAATGTGTCATGTGCAATTACTATCAAGGCTGAGTATGTGCTGTGAAGGCCTTACTGTGTTGTGGCAGTCAGCATTGATCAGCTGCAGCAGCTGGCTCTCAAACTTTTCCAGGGACGGCTGGAGGGAGATGGTCAGTTTGTTCAGGGTGAAGGGCAGCATCTTGAGCAGCTGAGGCCTCAGCAGAGCGTCCCCTGGTGACAGCACAAAACATAGCATCACATATCGACATGCCGTGACATTTACCTGATGATTGTGTTTGCATCTCAGAAAAAAACATATTTTCCGTCTGGGTTGCTTCGGAGGTAAACATAAACTGAAAAGCACCATCTAGTGTAATAAATGTGTGAAAACAGGTTGTAAAACCGATGTTGGTATATTCCTCTTTGTGACCCATTTTCAAAAGTTCCCTGACAGTCTCTGTCATCCCCATGAAATGTATCAAGGCAGTTCTAGAAATTTAAAAAAGAGAGGTCAGGTGGAAAACTCGATTTGATGCAGTGCTGATTCTACTTATGTGGGTGTTATCTTTGAAGTAAGCTAAACTCTATGTTACTTTCTCACTAGTTTCAGCATCTTTGCCATTTTATGAAAAAACACTTGCTGTTTCACGGCAGCTTTACTTGTTGTTATGTCTGCCTCACCCTGAACTCAAGAGCTGCTCAATGTCATATGTTATATGCCCCTGGAGTATGTGCTTTACAGTTTGTTTGTTTGTTTGTTTGTTTGTTTGTTTGTTTGTATTAATAACCATACACATTGGTGACATGAGCGTTAACGCCCCTGTACCACATTGGGAATAAAAAAAAAACTTGTAACATGCCACAAATAAGGGTTGACTCTCCAAGTAGGACTACTACTGTGTAAAATGGCCATGGCCACATTTAAGTTCGAGCCACATGTTTACATATGTCATCATATGAGATTGATATAATGTGTGCGTAGCAACTGTGTGGTTAAGCTTCACCAAGAGTGACGGTTGATGTGCCAAGTGTGAGCAAATGCCAGTGTCAGCAAATCATTAGATTCCGAGTTTTTTCAGTGAATAAAATATTGTATGAAATATTGCCGATGACAAGGGTTCCAGAAATAATAGGTCCCAGGGGGCCATTGAACCCCCAAACCTTTTGCCCCTGCGCTGAACTGTGAATGAGAGTAGATGAAGAAAACAACTGATAAAGTGCCACCCAAGAAGGACTACTATGAATATGTCCAAGGCAAGGTGTAAGTGCTATCTTAATTTCTAAGTATTACTTAGTTGGTATTAAAGTAGCAAAATTGGTGCGTAGAAATTATGTGAGATGATAGAGGCGCCCAAAGAATACCTGCAACTTGTGCCGGAGCGCAATAAATCGACACCTTTATTGCGAAATTAAGAACAGTGTGTACTGGCCCACTTTAAGCACTGTCATGGAGGAATCTATGACCTGGGTGAAGAAACAAGCCAGCGCACCCTTTTTTTGGTAGCAGATGTTCTGTACGCATGGTAAGATCTCACTCTTTGATTTGAAATGTATATAAATGTTGCTGAGGGACAACATCTCCATCTAAATGACTGCTCCATTGATCTGTGGTATGCTGCCTAGTATTTACACCACAGAGAGAGATACCACAGCTGCTGTCAAACAATCCAACAAAAACTGTTTCCATCTGGCGTAAATTGTATCAGAATCAATTTGTGAAAGCATTTGAGCCAATGGGCAAAGCAGGGAGGCCTGTGAAGTCGACAATAACCCCTTTCTCACACAACAAAGAGAAATAACCAGTGTGATTGTAATCTCTTCAAGAGTAATGTAGCCATCAAGCGTTTCATTGCAGCCCCTTGTCTCAGGAGCAAAGAGTTGGACTGTTCTGAATGCGGCGTGCATATCAAACTGGTGGCTGTGGTCTTAAAAGGAAGCTTAGGTCTCTGCTGCTCACAGCCCCAGAACATGAAGAGGATTAGCCGGCTACCATACCTCCCACTGACTCCCAATGATTATAGCTCCGCACTGTCAGACTTCATTACATTCCCCCTTAGAAACTCACTTTCTAAGTACTGCAGACATCTCAACTCCTGATGGGAATAAGTTTCCACTATTAAGTACCATGATGACTGTCCTGTTTGTTCATTCGAAGTTGGAGAAAGGCTATTTGTTTTGTAAGATTACACCTGATATGTGCCGAGGGTGTTTGGTTGAGACATATTTTGATTGATCTAGCTTGAGTTTAGGTGACTTTTTTCTTTGCTTCAACTTTTCTTTTTTCTTTAAATGGGCATTTTGGGTTTTCCCTTTCCTGTAGTGTGTTATATATGTTTATGTGCATGTATATGGTCTGCAAAAGGTTAAAATCCCAAAGTTCACGCCAGAGGGAGTTTCTCTCCAACGCACTTCCTCCCTTCCTGAAACGCCTTGATTGTAGTTATTTTACTTCAGTTACATAGTGACATCACAAGGTAACACTCTTGATTCTATTGGCTAGCGCTCAAACACTTAAAGGTTAAAGGAGGGGACATTTATAAGCGGTTGACCAAACATAACAGAGCTGGCCAGCTAACCAATAAGAGCAGACTGGGCTCTGGTTTCAGACAGTGTGAAAATAGCAGCACAAAATAAGAGCACTTTTTGAACATTAAAGCATGTACAATTGTCAAAGTAGAGGCAAAACACACAAATGTGAAACCTGAAAATGAGCATTATTGGCCCACTCTAAACGAGGACTAATGTGCATCTGTAGTGTAAGAATCTCCTACGTATTTTTTTATTTTGTTCTCGTCTGAAAGAAATACATTTTGACGAGTTAGGGAATAATACAAACGATATACTGAACAACAAGTAGTCTAGACTAGAGTTTTGTCAATAGACCAAATATGCATTACTTACTCTCATCAAGGACGGCAAATGCTAATTTTGTTTACCTTGTAAATCTGAAAATGTGTGCAGAACAGGGCACCGAAATTATGCGAAAATGGTATAGATGGAAAAGGAAAGGAATATGGTAATGGTTGAAGAGAGTCTGCATAGAGAGTTGGAGAGTGAGGTTAACTTCAGGTGAGCTGAAATCAGATGGGGGGGATTAAAAATAAAGGATTCATACAGCTTTTTAACAGTATAATTCAAGCACTTTTCAAGCACTTTTAACCTTTTACCTTTACCAAACATTTTTAGATTCTCAAAGCCTTTGTCATCACATCTAAAGAGGTACATTAAATGCATGTACAAGATCTGCTCCATATCTGGTGTGAGATGTTAGGAGAAAACAAACCAATGTTAAGGGATTGTTTAATTTGAAATATTACAATGGTTTACCTGTTGGAGAAGTTGCAAGCCCTGGAATGTTCTCATTTCCAGATATGAGGACATTCTCTGGAAGGAGGTGCATCACGGAAACCAACGCCTGGTGGTTTTTTAACACATATTCTAAATGTGCTCCGTCTATAGTCTTCAGGAGACTGCTGTCTGCAAAAAAAGACATTACATATTACCCAAAGCGACTTTCAATAAGTGCAATCAACCATGAAGATACAAACACAAAAATCCTAAAAGCCAAATTGATGTTAGTGCTACCACATTGGCTATAAATAAGCCAAATCTTTATAATACATTTATGTAAAACTAATTTTATCATTTCACATGCATTTCCTGACAAACAAGCAAACTGCCACTCATTTGACATTCCACCCCACCATCGTTCCCAAACCACCCAAAGAATCAATCATCTTGGTGCGTCTAATATTTCCGCCAAAAAGCAATGAGTCACAGACAACATGACACCGAACACGCAGATAATTTTTCAATATTCCATTTGGGTGCTGGTGACCTAGGTGCAATGTTCCATTACACTGCGAGCATCGTTTTCCAGGGCTAAACTGAAATGACAACCATTCCACTTGGAAAAAGGCACTCCTCTGGAAGAGCACCGCAGCGTGGATGAGGCACAAGGTATGAGCAATGAGGTAGACATGGTCATCCTTCAAGCAGGTCATCCAATGACAAGCGAAGACCCACAATTCCTGAAAGCACTGACCATTTTGAAGGAGAGCGAAGTGGTGTTTGATGCGCTGCGTATGTTTGGCTTCCTTCAAGCCTGAAAAGCATCACAATCTCTCACTGTGACAGGGTTAATGATTGCACCTTCAAAAGCATCAGTGACAATCAATACAGGAAGTTCCATTCACACCCATAGGCTGTCTCAACATGACAGTGAGCGATCTGAAGGTGAGCCGTAGTGGTAAGTGAAATGGTGGTCATGTCTGAGACAATCCAAGTGCTTGTATTTTTTGCTTGTGTTTTGTTTCATAATTATCATGGTAAACAGGGTTTGTATAAAAGCCTTAAAAGGTCACATATCAAGCTAAATCCACTTTTTCATATCTGTTATACATGTATCCCCTCTGTGTGAAGAGATTCTGACAGTTTCAGGAAAAAATATTCTCTCTCTTTTTGTCCTGATCCATTTATATAAAAACCTGTCTGAAAATGAGCTGATCAGATTTTGGCCACTTCATGATGTCATAACGATTTTTGGCTTGTGTAACAATTAGCCAATAACCAACCAAGGTTTTTTCTCAAGACTACACTGCAGTGTGGGTTTTTATTGGAGCGGGAAAGGTTCCAGACACAGTAACACAAACATAATGTGTTTCTTGAACATTAAAGAATGTTCAGTAGAAACCCCAAATACAAGGATAACCCTGGAAATATACATTACAGGTGATATTTAAAATATTCTGTAAATGCATTAGGTATGCAGGGCTAAAACATTTATATAATTCAATATTAATGTATATAGGCCTCATATTCACTATAACAAAATACAATTTGAACCTTTGATTAACATAAAACGATAGACATACCAAACCCAATTAACTATATGGAGTATAAAAAGTCAAGCTATTGACCAATGCTTAACAACGATATACTTGAACCAACATCATAAGTAAACATCTGTAATGTTTAAACCGAGAAAATAAACGTGGCCAAATTACAAATGGATCATGATGGAATCAGATTAGTAGAATTCTGATAAGAAAACAGATTGTATGTTAAATTCAATTGAAATAATTTGTATCTTGAAGACTTGAGAGATAGACATTTTTGTAATAAAGGAGTATTTTCTACATGAAACATCACACAAATTGGAAGCTTAGTTCAGAGGAGAGCTGGGTACAATGTCCATTTTTTCTGTTGACAACTTTTCATCAATTCCCAGGCCAGTGCCTTTATCTTGAAAGCCACTGAAAGGGGATGGAGAGGGAAAGATGATGTAGTATATATTGCTGTATTGTCCTCCTCTCCCTGTCCATCACTCATAACTGTCAAAGTCTTTAACTCTCTCTAACAGTGAACTTACTACAAATAATTGCTTATGTCTAAAGCCAAACAAATGGTTTGGCAAAATCTCTGAGGTTGCAGTAAAGCTTCAACTCTGTGAGTTTCTCATTCTACAAATGGTTTCAGTGGCAACAGCAGCTTTTAATAAAAAGGTGCTTTTTACCATGAAACAGAAAAAGTAGGGTGGGTTTGAAGGGGAAGAAAAAAGAAAGGGGGGAAATCAAGCGGATAACTTTCTTGACACAGTTGGTGCCCAGGTGTCTGCAACTTTTTCATCATTTATTTCTCATTATTCATTATGCATCAAGCTCAGGTTTCAGTCAGATGCTGTGCATAGATTAGAAAACTAGCCCAAATATTTCCGTACAGCAGTGGTGTGGTACCTCAAGAGTCAGTTGAGCAGCATCTTGGCAAGAGATGTGAAACCAAGGAATTCGGCGGGGAAATGGCTCAGCATCACACAAACAGAAGCAGTGGTTTTGGGAGATGGTTGAGTGTGGAAGAAGAAAGTATATAGATGAAAACAAATGGGGAGATTTGTTGAGAGAAGGTTGTGCAGCCAAGTTAGGTAAGAGGAAAGGGATTTTAAGTGTGAACCTTCAAGTGTTTCTATGTTTATAGAATGTGTATTTCATTATTTTATACCTATGTATTGTGTTAAGGCATCCCTACGTTAATTATTTAGCATGTTACGTCCCAAAGACCAATGTCAAATGGTGAAACTATCAACTGGGATGAAAGGATTATTCAATTAAACAAAAACTGGAAAACATGACCTTCTTATTCCCTCTTGAATGAAAGGCTGTGATGCTTTATTTTTTTTATATATTATGTAAATGTATGCATTTTGTGATCAGACACATCAACTCTTGCGCACCTTTTTCTATGATTTCCAGAAAGATTTGTTGTTGAAATAAAAACCGCAGAAACACATAAGGTATATCTCATACAGATATGCCAGCCACTGTTCGATACACGAACATGGAACAAAAATAAGCACTCTTTAAATATGTTACATTTATATATTTAAGATTTGTTTCCAGCATCTAAAATGGGTGAGATATTTTAAAGTTTTAAAATAAACTTGTATGTCAAATTATATAGACAAAACATATAATCTCTGTTTTTAAAGTACCTTCAACATTTTAGGCGTGTTGTACTTAAGCAATCATAGACGAGATAATGACGTTCAAGAACAGCCTCAAGTGTATGATTGCGATTCTATTACACAAACTATCATTGTAATCAACAATATCGTAAAATAATTTCATAATGTGGGCTAATTTGCTCCCAAACCTACGCTTTCTGCTTGAGTTAATCTCCGTCAAAAAGTAGTTCCTAGAAAGTAGTTCCCATGGTAACGATAGCCGATCAATCGAACACTCCTGCTACCCCGCTTACAGTTATTGATATAATTATAGTAAATAATATATTATTAACCAATTTATTGAAAACAATTTATTGAAAACAATTCTTGAATTAGGCTATTTAAATATCTGAGTAATCACTGTGTGGGATTAGCGGAACAAATCAAATCAGGCTGTCCATGGTGCTGAAACATTTTGGTTTCAGAATGAAGGTGGATGTTCATGCTGCCATTAAAAGTGCAATTCTTGAAACAGCTCTCCATGAACTCCATGCCAGACTTTTTTGCAGGTAGTGCTGTGGTGTTCACGGGTAGGACTACGTTATAGGAAGAGCTTTCCTCCAGTGGCCGTTTCATGGCGTGTCCCGGACCGGCAAAAAGCGCGTTGCTCCACATCTTTCTGTTGTCTAGAGATGGAGCCCAGTAGCTGCGAAGCGATGACTCGTTTTTATGTCCGCTAACGGACATGATTTCTCTGGCCGATTTCCAACGAGAGACAATGTATAACAGTGTAACGGCTGTGTGTCGCTAAACGTCGCTATGGAAACCACACGATGTAGGCTCATGAAGTAGTTTCGGTAGGCTAGTGGCGTGTATAGGCCACTGGATACTTTGTGATTAGGCACGTTCTATTTGATCGTTGTTTGATCGTGGAATCAAACACGCCTATTGACCAATCAGAGAGCTTGCTCAAACCTATGTGTTATAGAATATGACGTATTTTGTTTTTCTCTGTATTTTTACTGGATGAGTAGAGCGTTTATTACATTCAAGATTTCAATATAACACAAACATTTAAGATAAATACATTAGGGAACAACAGAGTTAATGAAAATTGTTGTTATTAAATTATATTTCATCCTTCTAATTTTTAAAGGTGGGGTAGGTAAGTTTGAGAAACCGGCTCGAGATTTGTATTTGTATGTATCGGCTGTGTATTTTCAAATTCTAGCGCACTCGAGCTGGTTTTTCCGAAATTACCTACCCCACCTTTAAGTTAAAATCAAACTTATAAAGTTGAAAACTAAAGAAAGCAAAAGTAACCTTAGTGAGTTCAAATGTATTTAATTGTTTCTGTATTCCTGGGTTCAATTAGTATTGATGCTCAAGATGATAGTAAACAGGTATCAAAGAAACTTCTGAAACCGGTGAAAATGTTGGCAGAAGTTTTGTTGGGAAACCATTTACCAGAAAAGTTTTCAAGAAGTGGGGGTAGTTTAAATCACACCATTAAATTGTAATCAGTGATAGATGCATTCTTTCGATAAAAACACAAAAAATAACACTTTAAATGCTGTAAAGAGTTTGCCAGGGCTCAAGCTGAGCCTAAAGTGCAACATGTTCCAGGTAAAGGAGCCACAACAGGGGAAAACTGTTTAACTTCATTATGTTTGTTGGAAGTTTGAAGCTCACCCAAACAGCAATAAAGCTTGGCGTGGGTGGTGGAAAACAAACACTTATGTGGGTTGCCTTTGTGTCAGATATGCAGGGAGAGGCTTTTGAAGGCACCAGCAAACCTCTTTATCTTTGCCACAGAGAGGCTTTTCAGGATATCAGTGAGAAAATGTGTCATGTCACTACCTTTCTGTGCCCCACACAGACGTACACACAATAAATTGATGCATCGGGGTGTTGCTTCACATTAAGATATGCTAATGTGAACACAATGTACCATCTGTTTGTCCTCTTATCGCACAAAGAGGGTCCCAGATAGCAGCCCTCCAGCTTTCTTATTCCATTTTTGCTTCTCTCTACTGCT